CTGTCAGAGAGCACCGTTGTGTCTGCAGAGTGTGACAAGCCGCAGAATTTTACAGATACCTTATTTAGCTCTGAAGCACAACAAATTACTTGCTTTCACAAATTTGTGTTACTGACTAGAATGTGCATGCTTTGGTGCAGAAATTAAACAGGGCAGCAAAGGTGCACAGTTACATTAACAATATTAGATGGGTGCAAACTGCCATGATGTGCTGTCTTCAAGAGTAAAACTCTCCCAATGAGAGATGTCCTCCTAGAGTGGCAGTGAGAAAGGGTGAACACTGCATGTGAGGAGTAGCATGGGAAATGGTGAGCACTGGTGCATGGCAGCCCCAGAGGACACCTCAACTACTATATACTAAGCAAAGCAGGCATTTTCATAGCTATACTTTTTAGAAAAATGATGGGACTATCACAGCCTTTGCATAGAGTAGGAAATCCGAGAGAGTATCAGCAGCAGTTGTACATTACGGTGAATATGAGCAGTATGAGGTTGAGGTCTTCTGCTACTGCTGAGGAAAGTTTCCAGGTCACTTGAAATATCAGACAATTTGGAAATGATGGGTGATTCTTCTGTCTATGGCCACAGTGGAGATTTGTGATTTTTCACAAAGTGAGAACAAGATGATAGTCGGGAATTGCAAGACTGGGTTAATTGTGGTAGGATGATCCGAGGACCATAATTAATGTTCAAGCTTAATGTACCTGCCATGTCTGAAAGTACCATCTTTGCTAGTGCTGCTAGTGAAAAGTTCTTGCTGAATGTGGCCTGGGAGTCGACAGTAATAGTTAACTTCTGTTGATTTTGACGTACAGCTGTGAAATGTTACTTTATGGGCATGCCAGAATAGCCTTTTTCAAAACACTCCAAGTCTTCTAGAGGTAAGTCAAGGCTGATCTAAAAGTCACAGGGCTTTGTTAATGGAGTGTCAGGCTTGAGCTGGTGCTGTAAACCCTGCAGGGAGCAAAGCACTGATTTACTGATGCTTCTCAGGTTTTGGGTAAGAGTTGGCTGCAGTCCATCTGGCTTGGCTTGCTCAGGGAGTGAGCGTACTTTAGAACCCAGCTCATCTGGGAACAGCAAAAAACTCCTTGACCAACACAAGCAATAAGGCAGCTTGCCAGGAGCTCATAATAGATGAGAGCATCCCCTTGTTGGAGGAGAAGTCTGTGATGGTTATTCAAGCAAATACAATGTGTTTCTTTTAGGTATGCAAATATGGTTATTAGCCCTTGATGGAGAAGTGCTGAGTGTTGGTACTTTTAGTGGCTCAGGTCATGAACTTATGTACAAGTCACAGAAATTATCATCTTGGATGTTGTTAATTATTGAAGTATGTCACCAATTCCTCTGCCCTGTTTTTTACTGCTAGAATTTGCTGTAAGAGAATGTGCAAACACAGGTGACAGAACAAGCACCTGCCCATTCAAACGCATATAATATTTTGTCCAAAGTGTTTTAAAAAAGCATTTTAGCATTATTTGCTGCTGTGCCTCCTCAAAACTCTTTGGGGAAAGGAATTAAAAGTGCTGCCATCTGTTTATCTGACATTTAATACTGAGGGTAAAAAAAGAGTGCCAGCAGTTTTGAAGCAGCATTATATAATTTTGCTTTTAAAAATACATGCTAAGGATACAGTGAGTACTACCACGTTGGTCCCACTTTTGTGAGTTGTTGCAATGCTTTTTCAACAATATTTTAGTCATTTTATCTTAAAAGAAAACAACTCTGTGTGAAATCTGTGGGTGATAATAACTGGATGGAGATGGCATTCTCTGGGAGAATTATTTTGTTCTAGAAGTAACACCAGGCACAGCAGCACCTGACTTCTCACTGAGCTCCAGCAGCAGCTGCATTGGCAGCTTCAAAGGTGAAGTCAGGCTTGTCTCAGGCTGATGCTGATCGATTCCCTGGACTCTTTTTCATTCTCTCGGATGTGAATTTCTGGGTTTTGTCTTTGAATTAGTGGGGTTCATCCAAAGTTCTATCCCTTTTGAGCAAAAAGTTGCCCAAAGGAGGAGGTGTATTGGTCGTTTGTTCTGAAAGGGGATGTTTCTGGAAAAAAACACACCGAGCACCATCAGTTCATATTTCATTTTGTTTTTAAAGTACTCTGTGGAGGAAGAAACAGCTTTCCTATGTCAGACAACTTTTTTTCTTTATTTCCTTTTCTCGCCTTTTTTTAAGCAACAAAGAAGTGTTTTCACAAAGACAGGCAATCTTACCAGTAAGAGTCCTGATAGAAGAGCACACAGGGTAATTCTCTTACTTTCACCAGTTATGCTTGGTTTCTCACAATATAAATTGATAGTGGAATTGCTTCTTATTTCTGCAGTGTAAAATTAGTGCAATTAAGATGATTTTGCTCTCTGTGCTATATTATTTACTGTATTTCACTTGGACTAATGGAGAAGACAGAAATCTCACCCTGCAGGTGATGTTTTGTAGTTCTTGTAATAATTCTCTTACTTTCACCAGTTATGCTTGGTTTCTCACAATATAAATTGATAGTGGAATTGCTTCTTATTTCTGCAGTGTAAAATTAGTGCAATTAAGATGATTTTGCTCTCTGTGCTATATTATTTACTGTATTTCACTTGGACTAATGGAGAAGACAGAAATCTCACCCTGCAGGTGATGTTTTGTAGTTCTTGTAATATATGGCAGATATTGAGGCTGGAAAAGGGGAGAATTGGGTAATTGGAAAAAAAAAATTAGTGCAATTAAGATGATTTTGCTCTCTGTGCTATATTATTTACTGTATTTCACTTGGACTAATGGAGAAGACAGAAATCTCACCCTGCAGGTGATGTTTTGTAGTTCTTGTAATATATGGCAGATATTGAGGCTGTAAAAGGAGAGAATTGGATATTAGAGAAGATAAATAAGAGTGGAGGAGGGGACTGAAGAGGAAGGACAGTATTTGCAAAGACCTCGGGGTAAGCTGCTTTTAATGTACTGTTTAAGCTTTAATGACCCATATACAGATTTTAGCAATGAAGTAATGGCCAACTAGAGGAATTAAAGGCCTCAGGTGATGATCTGAACAGCAAAAGCTGACAGAGGTCATAAATACTATTCCAGTTCGACACAGGCTCTGCTAGGAGGCAGTTTTTATGTTCCCAGTCTCTCTGCATGTATGGTCATTTGACAAGGTTTGGGGGAAGAGCTGGTAAAAGCTCAGTTACTGCAAGTGAACTCTTCTTGGGGTTCCCCCAGGTTAAAAGTTCTCATTTCTGGTAGGAGGTACCTTTCGGAACAGTTATTCTGGTTATCTGTTGTTTGTATCCATACCTTTTTCAGTAGCAATTTTTCATTGTTGTCCTTTAAAAAAACCCAACATATCCAAATCTCTCTGAGCTTTTACTCCAAGAAATTCTCCAAATTCTAAGATGAGGATCCTATGAAAATTGTGCACAGCTCTTTCTTTGAGAAAAAAGCTTCTACTTAATTTGTAGAATGTTGAAAGTTACTAGAGATGCACTGATCAAATGTTTAAAAAGAATAATTGTAATTGCAATAGCTGATTTACAGCTCAGTGGCAACATATTTAGAGCACAGGAAAGACTCCTCTGTGCTGACTCTCTGAATAGCATAAGTTGTGGAGTGCAGGCCAAAGCAAGCTCTTCTGAAACATTTCTTCTTCAGCCAGGTTGAAGGGTTGCCTCATTCCTGGTCATGGAGCTTGCTTGCAGGTTTGCAATCCTGTCATCAGGATATTTGTGATATGCTCGCTTTGAAGCTGCTGTATGGTATTTTCCCCTTTGCTATCTACCTTCTGCCTAGCATGAACTCCAAAGTTTTATTGCTGAGGATGCTTGTAGAGGAACGCTGATTCAGCCAGATGCCATGTTGCTATTATGTTGCTTCCTAGAGTGATCAGCTTGTCAGATCAATCTCTTAAAGACCAATATGAGAGATGATATGTACTTACCCTAATTCAAAGCCAGATGACCCCTGGAGTTACCTCAGCCTGATGGAGCACCCTCAATAGGACAGCAAGGAGTAATACTGCTGTGGAAGCTCCTTAGCTTCCATTTTGCACAGTAGTGGAGTTGGTGTTTCATTATTTTCTTTGACAAAAGAAGAAGGATGACAGAAGAAAGTTCCACGTTATTCAGTACAGAAATATGCCACTCATTTGCATGTCTTTGTATCTATTATTGACTTTGCTGTGGTGACTGATAGTCCTGCTCAGATGTATGCATTAGATGGCAAGGCACTAACGACAGAATGACATTGGTAACAACACATGGCTTGTCAGCATATATTGGTAAAATATGCCACGTCTTGTGGAACATTAAATATGTAATATGGTATGAACATTAAATATGTATTATGGTGTAAAAGAAATTTAGTGAAGGAGATCACCTGGAAGTTCACTAGATAAGTCTTTATTTGTCAGTATTCTGAAAACATGAGCTAGTGCCATTAAAAAAAATATGGTGAGAAAGTACCATGTATTTATTCTCATGAGCTAATACAAATGATTCCATCAAACTTGTGTTATGTTTGAGAAAAAGGAGAATTATTGCTTAAAGCGCTATTCTTAGGATAGATGTTGCACTTTGTTTTGAAAGCAGCTCTGTTGTGTTGGATAGGAAAGATGATGTTTTGAAGACACACTTGACTTTTATCTGAGGCAAAAAATTATCTTTGAGTGTAGAAGCGAACTTGGTGTCTGGTTGATCAGATGTGAGTGATTGAATCACTTAGAGGAGGCTGCGTAAGGAAAGCATCTCTAGCCGCAGCTCATTTTTGCCTCAAAGTGAGGTTGAGTTTGACCAACAATGTGGAGAAAATAGCACTGAATGGGAAGGTGTGATTTTCAAACACACTGAATGTGTGGAACTCATGGACATAGAAGGTACTAAAGTACAATTATTGGTTGTCAGGCTATGAAACTCAGATGTCAAAAAAATCATCCAAGTTACTAAAAAAAAAGCCAATTAATGTAAAATATTTGGATACTTTTTAAGATAATGTGTTTTGCTTTTCAGCTTCTCTTTTGAAAGGACTGAAACATGCTAACATTGTGCTGCTTCATGACATCATTCACACCAAGGAGACCTTGACACTTGTGTTTGAATACGTGGTGAGTAAAGTAACTAATGTTCTGGATATGGTCCAGAGTGTATTGAATTTGATGGAAAAGCTCTCTTTACCATTGGTGATCTGTGGATCAGGCCAAAATAACCCTTTACTTTCTTCAGTAGAGTGGAGGCTATAAGAGACGATGCTTTGTAGTGGAGTGGGCTAAAAGTGGAAGGCTGGGCTAGACCAGATTCAGAGATGGATCTGAAAAAAGTAGCCACTGAAAAAAGTGGCTACTAGGGCTCTTGAAGGACCTTATACTGTTCAGTTGACTGTTCAAACTGGTTCCTTACTCTGCTTCCTGATTATAGTTTGTTTATTAGAGCTTTTTCTTCACTGATGTGATTGGGTAACTTTAAAATAGGTGAGGATAATGTAGATAAGAAGAACAGGACTGAAATGCTTAACAGGTAGTTCCTTCATCAAAAGCATGTAACAAGTTTAAATGGCTTTTGTTGTGACTGGCTTGTGCATAGTGTCTTTTTATAAGCAATGTCAATAAAAAAGAAGTCTGGCACATGCAATTTAGAATTTTGGATTATTATTTTTTTGCCATGACTAGTGTTTTACCTACTAATTAAAACTTCAATTTACATAGTACACAGTGTAATGATCTAATTGTGTTCAGAATATTACTTTCCAAAGTCTTGGGCTTGGCCTCCTAATTAATCTTTTCAGTTTTTCTAAGACAAACATATGGCATTTATGTAGAACTACTTCAGCATTTAGCTGTGGACTTATGCAATGTACTATCATAATTAACCTCCCAGTTTTCACAGATGGGTCCAAGAACATGTAATTTAAAAGAAACAAATGAGTTTAGAGAAGGTTAGATTTTCAGTATAATATCTGTTATTGTGTTGTAGTCAGTAAGAGACTGCATTTATAAAATACAGTGATTATTAATTTCACTCTTAGTACATCTCTGCTTAAGACAGATGGAATTGTTTTGTGTGTTTCTTGGGAGCATGCTTTAATTTTTACATGATAGTGCACAGCATCTTGTCTGAAGAAGCCATTCACCTTGTCTATTTACATAGAAATGCTACAGTGTCATCATGTGGGTATTCAGCTACAGGAGCCTGCAGAGCGGTTGCATGCAGTACATATTTTTTTACCTCAGGTATAGGAACATTAATGAAAATTTAATTCCTTTTCTTAAAATTGGTGATTCTTCTGCTCCTGATATACACTGAATTAGCATGGGAAAAGCCTTGATATTTAATTTTATGTAACGGTCAGTGTAGACTTATTTGCATAACTTTACATGAATACATTTTGCAGTCCCTTTTATCAGCAGCTGTATTTAGCTGTATTCATCAGAACTGGTTGAGAAATGAGATATATAGAATAAGTTGCTCCCTAAAATAGATGTTTTTGCCTATTATACTGATGTCAAATTTCTGGATTTTACATACAGTAGTAGTGTTTACAGACTCTGGCTCCCAGCCATGTGTTATATCATGTTGCTGTCCGTGATAAGCATGGACACAGACTAAGCTTCATGCAGCGGCTAGTTCTTCTGGATTCATTTAGCTGTTTGTTTTTCAACAGTGTGCTGTTGGGATCAACCCTGCTGGTGGTTGCACCTTTTTATTCCCATGGTGTTTGGTAGCTATTGAAACGGTTTCAGTATCTCATTTAGTAATGGTTTCTAGCAACTGATCCAAGTAGTATTTTAGTGTTTTGGCTGGTGGGCAGAATCTCTCAAGTGGTGCTCAGGAAGAAGGGGAAGGATGCTTTGTTCTCTCCAACCAGCCTAAGGACTGTATCTTAATGACGTTGTAACTTGCTCGTGTGCCTTGAGATGACAGAATTGCTTAACAAAAGTCTGTTTTCATTGTTAGGTAATGTAAAGTTATAGGCTGATCAAATAGCTAATGCTATCTGATAACACTTACTGCTTGAGAATGCCCATGTAACCTGAATTGAATTCTTGTGGGTGTGCATGATACCGGTTTTAATTGCATGATAGCAATGACCTTTTTTGTTCCTTTTGTCAAAGAGCTCTCATTCAGTGCATAATATGAATGTGCAGAGGCAAAAATTACAGTTGCCCATTTAAATCTACAAATTTTGGCTGGTTGACTATGCAATCTAGCTGTGTAATTGGTGTTACTGAGCTCTATATCTGTAACGTCTGTTTTGTTGTTTTTGATTTTTTTAATACCTGTATATGGTTTAGCTCAATAATACGAATGATTTGTACTGAAATCAGTGGAAATACTCATGTGATTAAAATTACATGGTGGCATACATTTTTCAATGACTGAGGCCTAACAAACCTAAAAGGGGATGAATTTGATTTCCTTCATAAAGTGACATCATGAAACTGATACACTATTGCCATTAATCACTATTGGCCATTTCAAACATAGTAAAAACCATTTGAGTGAGATGTCATGATTAAATTAGGGATGACCAGTTAGTGATCTGAGAGTTGTCAGAAAATGGAAACTTTGGGTCACTAGGTTGGTGACGATTCCATTGGGAAATTAATACTGATGAAACGTCTGAGGTATCAGAGGTGTTCGGTTTCAGCATTGACCCTGAAAGAGTAGAATGAAATTTAATTTCATGTAGCACCTTTCATTGCAAAATGCATTGCAGTAATAAGTTAAAAGCTGAAAGCAGAATAGCCTCTGAAAGGAAACATGGCAGTGATTAAATTCTCTGGGTACCTCAAATTAGAATTTTTTTTATATAGAAGTCTGTAAGATGAAAACATGGCAGAGCTTTTTAACTTCAACCTTGGTGGTCCCCAGAAGCAAGAAAAGTCAATCTTTAAAAATTCTATCTGACAGTTGAAGATCAGGAGAAGTTCATTCTCCATATAAATATTTTGGTGGTGAATGTGAAGCTGTGCGTTTCTGTGGAAGAAGAGAAGAGGGACTTGCTCCTTCTGAATGAAAGAACTTAATTGAAAATACTTTAGTATATACATTACCTTGTTAGTAGGGCATAATTTCTTTGTATGGTTTGATAACTCTTACATCAGCTATGATTATTGTTGGTCATTCAAGAGTACCGAAAAGGGAGCTGAGAGCTCAATTTTATCACTGGATGACTGAAAGCCATTGCTCATTACCTGAGGAGTTTTGAGGATGAGCTGCTTGGAATCACCTCTACAAAACCTGAAGGGCTGATATTCTTTCATGTATGAATGGTAGAGAAAATGGTTTCCGTATAGTTAACTGGGATGTGCTAAACAAGGCCTGAAAACAAACTGTGAAATTTTGACACATTTTGCATATGGTATCTGAGACTGCAATGACTTCCAAAAGAAAAAGGTCAGTTCAGCTTTACAGTTCAATGGAGGAGTATGACTGTTCACATAGGTTTTGTTCCCCTCCTCTCCAGGCTCTGTTTAGGTGTTAGTTTATGCGACCTTGTGGGTATGCCAGCTGTAGTGCAGGTGTCACTGATATAGCCAACTTTGCTGAAGGAAATGATGAATTTTACAGGTGAGATCTCGGGTATATTGAGAGATCTTTGAAGATGGGTTCACATCTGTTCATTCTAAAATGATCATGAGCTGCTACCATTTGTTTCTTCACTTGTTTATTTAAAAGGAAGATGACTGTATTTAGAAACACTTAATTGCTGAAAGGCAATCCTAAACAATACATATTGCTACAGGCTTGGTAGAATGATAATGAGGTTTTTAGTATTATGCATAATTATGTAAGTATATTATTATCAATAAATGAACCAGCAACTTGTCCTATTCCTGGCATATAAAAGTGAGCTTGTATTGCAATACTTCACATTACGCTTTCAATATTTATGAACTAGATTTGAAACAAGAACAGATACATTTATAATTGCAAGTATGAGTAATGAGTAATATTATTTCTGCCTCAACAGTGAAAAAGCTCGACTAATCTAATAGTGTAATTTAAACCCAAGCATTTTCAATTACCTTGCCTACTTTAATCTTTGTGTATGTTTTTCCTTCTTAAAAATTACTTTCCATTAAAGAAGAAAGTTTAATTCTCATTGCTTCATTGCAGTAGCTAAAATAGGTTGTTATACAATGAGTTGGCTTAATAAAGTTGATTAGTTACATTTTCCTCCCATTTCCTGTAAGAAAAAAAAATAGGTGTGAGTTTCTCATTTTAATGCTGATTGGAAATTGAGATATATACTGCTTATCAGAATTAAGAGTTACAGAGCTGAAGTTTCAAAACCTGAGATTTTGAGTTTGTCATGGGACATCTGAGAAAAGTATTATGCAAGGAAATGCTCAACACTCATTACCTAAAAGGATCAAAAATTTTTGCATTGAAAATTTTGAATTTCTTATAACTTTTGAAAATTTGGATCAAACACTATTACTGGTTTTCTGGTTTTATTTATTTTATTAGGGAACATGTGTTGAAACTAAAGGTAGGATGGCATTGCTCGTTTGTGAAAACAAACAAAAAAAGCCACATTATTTTAGTGGATGAGAGAGCAGGGAAAATCAGTAGAGTCCCAGAGCTGCTTTTGAGCTGTGATAACTAGGATCGTTCAGCAGTGCTTAACACCTAGAGGAAATTAGGGAAACTTGGCACAAGAAGGAAGGAGGGGTCTTCTAATCCTTGACTGAGAGTGAAACTTATTTGGAGGCTGAATTACCTTATTTTGATGTGAGAGTGAAACGATGGGCAATTTTCTTTCCGTTTGAGGTCAAGGTGCTTGTCCAGCCGTGGTAAGCAAGGACTGAAAGCTAGTCAAGCTCTGCAACAAGCCAGATGCCTCCTTGCCACCCTCTTGGCAGACATCCCTGCTTGCTGTGAACGTGCTTTGTCCACCCCAGGAAGGAGCGGAGCCCTTGAGAGCTCCCAGCATGGGGGCAGTTGAATTTAGTAGTTTCCATTTGCCTTGACTGGAGAAGGAGCCATTCCCCTGTTGGTTTAACCCCTGCCTTGTGCCCCAGGCTTGCCCCAAGTTGCGCTACTTAAGTTGCAGTCAAAAAGATGACAGAACAAGGCTGAGAGGAAGCAGAGAGAAAGGAAA